TACACCGAACATTCATGCTGTTTTTGTATATATTACTGTACAGAGATGCCGTTCATGAACTCGGCTTCCGCCGTGACGGCGGCAGGTTTCACAGTCCCAGTACAGTAAACATTACCGGTAAGTAGCACACTACTAAACACAATTCCTACGAGTAACTCTCCATGTTGTCTTTCTCCCTTGTGTGCATACTAGTACATGTACTTCATTGCTTGTGACAAGTGGTATGGGTTTGCTATTCATGGTCGTAACCACGAAGTCCATTGAGCAGTAACTGCGCTGCAGCAAGAAACCTAACCTACCTACTGTATTCATGCGGGCGTTCATGATGCTGCCAACACTTCCGATGATAAGAACATTGAATTTCATTCAACTCTACATTCCATGAGCCAGCCGAAGAATGAGTAAAATTGGGCCAGTAGTGGCGTATAGCATGCGAAACACATTACGAGTCTGTCCGTCTGGCGGGGTCCCCATAAAGGCCGCGACTCGTTCGCGCAAAGATGGCTTAATGCAGCTCTTCAACGCCTGCCCCGTATTCTCGATCGGGTTCAACATCGAGGAGTACGGCCCTAGTTTTAAGAACGAAGCGTCTTGAAACTTCATGCTAGCGGTCATTCGTACTGAACATAGAGACACATAGGAGGTTTTGGTGCAGGGATGATATCTTCCATAGAGCGCAAATTCAAAAATGGTGAAAGCGCGCGAAACTCTTCGCGCTCTTCGACCTTTCTAGAATCCCAGCTCGAATTATAAAAACTGTTAGGTGAAATATAATTTCGAAAGGTGAAAATAACCGTTGGTTGGGTGAAGTATATGTCGGAGGTTGGTTGAGATATAATAGCCAAATTCCAATTCGGCGTGAAATATAATGGAGGTTGGGTGAATTATATTGGCGATTCAGTGAAATATATCGGATGTTGGTGGAAATATATTGAAAAATAGCTTGAATCAAACGCAAAATGGTGTATTAATACGTAGTAGAGTATGTCATGCCTGTGATACTAGCACTATTAATTTCCGGACATGATACTGTAGTTCTACGGATGCTGTTTTAGCGGTGGGGTCGGCGAAAATCAAAATGCAGGAACTGTAAATCCGTATTTTACGGACTGATTATACAGTCTTACAGGTGGCAATGCTCGTAGGGTATGCGACGGTATAATCAGACTGTATTATGACGTTATTTTCCTTCTTTGCATCCCCAACGTTTTTTGACCTCGAAAGGTAGAAAAAAAGTTCACGTGCAGTGTCGCTCAACCGAGTGTGTAAGGTTTGGTCAGACGTCCTGTACCATCTACCACCACGTGAGTACGTAAACAATTCAAGGCCTTGTCTTGTTCAATCCGTTGGGGTGGGATTTTCGAAAACCCACCATTTTAGACAATAATTGTTCCGAGCGGATAATATTGTTATGCGGAAAAGAAATACTTCCTCCGTTCCGGAATACTTGAGTGATGTTTTGGAGTGGTTTAAACATCAAGCAATTTGTATTCACTATGCATCAATTTTCGAGGTATAAGTGTATTTTTATTCAGAAGTACAATTCTACGACGAGTGAATACATGATGTGATCAACAAGTTAGTTGGCACTCTAAGTATTTTTCACACCACAACTATATTCTCCACCTGCGCAAAATCACTAGAAGTTTTGAACAGTTCAGCCATTTCGTCGACCAGGTCCTCGTCAGCCAAGCGACTCTCCAATGCTTCGAGGGCTGCGACGACTTCTGGATCACACGATGGATGCAATTCACGCACACCAGCATTCTCTTGGACGTCTTTACGCAAGTGCGGCAGCTTGTACACATTTACGCCTTGAAGCTTGATGGACTCTTCCATGACCTTTTGCAAGGTCATGATCGTCTTGTCCAGCACACGCCAAGGCAAATCTGTAAACGCGTCTTGTACCGACTTGATGAGGTCGTCGATGGTGCGCGCTGAGGTCTGATGCTGCAGGTTTTGTATGGCATTGAAAAATCCCAAAAACAGGACAGTGAAGTCCGGGCTTTGTGCTGGCTGTGCCGTGAGACGAATGCTCCACCCATTCGTGCTCCCTGCTTCCATCACTTGCGGATCGTCAAGACCAACGTGAGGCTTGGGATTGTCTTGCTGAATGAACACCGGTCCACAGCGATTGGAGGGCCACTGGGCTTGAATCGCAGGGATAACCTTGTTCACCAAGTATTGACGATACACAGGCTTCGTGACTGTCATTGGTGTCGTGATGGGAATTCCTCGGTCGCCGTTCATGCTGCGTCTCTGTGCACTAGATGGGATGAATGTTAACATAAATCTGACCCCGAAAAGTTCAATAAATGGACTTTTTCACCTAAATTTATCCATCAGATTTATGCTATCCGGATTCATAGTAATAATCCAAAGCAATATTTGGTTGGGTGGAGTTGCTCTTAATGCGCACTGTCGATCGAGTGGCT